ATTTTCATTTATATAGTGCTCTGTGAACACAAATTAGTTAGCATAAGTTAGTTAAATGACGAAAAATTAGGTGTCTATTTACTTGTGACCACTCAGTGTATATGATACAATTTTTTAAAATAGTGAAAGTATCATTTTTTATTATTTTAGTATACTGACTCATTGGTAAGTCCGATGGCTCATAGCGCTAAAAGTCAAATTTCAATACAAGCTTTTGGCAGAGCACAGATATCCCATTGTGTAGCTTTGCGCCTAACAACACCAGAAAAACAGTATATATATTAAACCTATACGACAACATTTTGGAACATAAATACTCTTTGTGAATTTATTGGACTTTGAACTAGACATTTTTTTTGAATTTATTGTGCCATTATTGAACATATTCTGAGCAATTTTAGTACTAGTGCACGTATATGAATCCTCTCTTGTGCACATACTAAGCTATTCTGTGAGATTTTAGCAAACATATATATTACTCTATTGGATGTTGGGTGTATATATGTATCTATCTACGTATGTGACAGAAACGGCACCACAAACAAAACTCCATAAAAAATCACACTTTGGTATTAAAAATTCAGGCGATCTTACTATAATGGACGTAACGTGTATATATATCAGTATCTATGTATGTAACCAAAACTACAGAAATGTCTTTAAACATCAACATATTGATAATATTGATGGAGAGATGAAATGTTGATTGTTTAAAGACGTTTCTGTATTCTTAGAGTGTGTTTAAAACTAATAAGAAGAGGATCCATAGAAAGTCATTCAAAATGGAAGGCCAAAAAAAGTATAAAGATAATGATGAAAGAAGGAGTGAACTGCAGAATCGGAAGAACAAAGACTTGGGAGGCTGAGGAGGATGTATCGATACACACAAGAACGGAAAGCTGCAGAATCTGAGCATGAAAGACTTCAAAGACTGGGAAGATGTCACAAAAGCAGCAGCAACGACACACTTCAGAGGAACCTTTAAGAATAATTTCACATGGCTAAACAGCATAGGCAAAAAAGGGCTGCCGAAACATCAACTGAACGAAATACAAGACTTGAAGCACGAAAGGGCAAATGACCAGCTTCTATGATAAATCTTGTCAAGTACTGTACAGTTACTGACTTTGAAGAAGAGGAAGTTTTATCGAACTTGAAGAAACACTTTGCCGAAAATTTCTTTCAAGAGTCTTGCCCTCATTGTAAAACATATAGGTGGAAAGATGAACTAAAGTCAGGGAAGGGTTAATTAAGCTTGACGCAGTTCCAGAACCACCACCAAAATTGATTAAGGATTTCAACGTCAAACAATCAGGCAATAAATTCTTACAGCATACAAGAACCTACGACAACTTTTGAGCTGGCCTCCATTGGATGCAATGAAATCGTAAGTCATGGTTTGTCTCTTACTTTCAAGATATAAGGCAAACTTGTTACAGAATTGGATCCCTCCTCCAAAACAGCACCAGTGACGAGCCCAAATTTGCTCAGCTGTACTTCTATGATACCGACAATGAACTTCAAAACCACCTGAATCAAGTTGACCTTGACCCCATAATTTTACAAGACCTGTAGGAGGAACTACACATTCACAACAGTTACATCCACAGCTTTAAAGCAGCCATTAAATTCAATGCTGACAGGAACTTGATGTGATCCTACATGCAGACAAAAGAGTACGATCAAGTAATTCTCACTGCTGAACTTACAAGTTTCCAATGGCTTCAGAAGTTGTTGCAATGCTCTCTGGAATAAACTCTGATAACTAGATATCATCATTCACTGTTGGGATGATAGCTTGCGAACAATCAGTCAAGCTCCCCAGTGGCACAGTGGTATTTCTGCGGATTTAAAACGCTAGAAACCGGGCTTCAATACCCGTGGTGGGCAGAGCACAGATAGCCCATTATGTTGCTTTGTGCTTAACTTCAAAACAGACAAACAAACACCCAATCAATCAAACTCATCACTTCTGTGATCCCTTGCATTATGTTCTGTTG